TGTACACGTGAACATGCAGGTACAATAAATACCTCTGAGAGAATTTCCTTGGCTCTTTTATGTTTGGCTTATCTATTGAAATGTCCGTCTAATCAGGTCGGGGGGAAGGGATGGGGGGGGGGGGGGTGGCGATGGTTTACTCCCGAGAGTACGTTCCTATACAGGGAGGCTGACTGTCCCGCCCGAGAGGAGTACCTTTTTCACTGGCTTCAGGAGTAAATTAGGTATTTAAAGGGGCCCTTAAATTTAATATATTTCAATCAGACCGCCTTTTTTGAGCTGAGTTTTAAATTTGTTTTGGTGCTATCAATTTCCTTCCAAAGGGAAGCAGTTTTCTTAAGTAGGTATTTGAAAGGGGTACCGTGGAATATAAAAGGGATTGGATATCGGTGCGGAGCCTCCTCGTGTTACAAACTTTGTTGAGTAGTCCTCCCCCGGGTCTTAAGTTTTTGCCATCCTTCCCCTCTCTTGGTGAAACATCGGTGATCCGTGCAAAGAAAATTTGGCAAAGTCTTCATGAACAGTATTACATGCCAACATAGCTGGGAAAAGGGAAAAGTTCTTTTCAAACCCATCAAAGAAAAAAAAATTAACCACATATAGTTTTATCTCTCAGAAATGTGGCTACGTTGTACCAAAACATCGCCGCTGGTGTTTCTCTTTTTTCCTGTTTTGATCTGCACTTTTTGAATATTTTAGTCGGCGTGCATGCAAAGAAATGACATTCTTCAAGCGGACCTTTCTGTTAAAAAATGTCGAAAAGATTTAAAGATTACTAATAATTCAGAGAATGGAATATGTTGAGCAGATAGACTTGCTCATTGGTCGATTTTAGGGTGACATTACGTCGCGAGAACGGAGCGATTATAGTCACTATAGGCGCGAGTCAATTTTTAAACGAGTGCGCGGCCTTTGTGCAAAATAAAAAGGGACAAGAATACAACTGCAGGAGACCATACATGGCGGCGCCGGACATTGATTTCAGTTTGTCTTTTTACTCAGCTGTTTTAGCAATCTACAGCAGTTCTATTCTTTTGCACAGTTTGTGTTCCTTCAAGTTGTTAGTTTATTTCGTCCTAAATTCCCTATTCGAACATAACCTAGTAAGTAAACTCACAATTGTAGAGGTGAACAATACAGCAAAAAACTACATTATATGCCAGTTAAAATGGAATGAGCAATATTTCTGTGTTTAGAGACTGTTCTGAAATTGTTTGGTGGAAGGGTCTGGAATTATGCAAATGTTACCTGAAATACACCGGAATTCGAGAACTGGATGTAATTATGATTCTTTAGGCCTCTTTGCACGGTTCTTTCAGGATTGGAACGGTCTACAGGAGCATTGAAATACTAACCCTCTCGTTGAAGCCGAAAAAAAAAACTTTAATAAAGTGAAAAGTCTGAAACATACCACTGTTTTGAGCTCAGATGTTTTGTACTAAAATTCAAGTTCCTTTCAGAATGAAAACACCATGCGGCTTATTTTGTTTCTTGTTTTTCCGCTTTCGTTCAAATTTTGCCAAAGGGTATATTAATCAATACGTTTGTAGCTTGGGAATTAATCAACGTCAACTGGGTGATGAAAGCGCTGGCTTTTATCACGTGTCAAGGAGGAACTATCAAAAAAGGCCTGTTTCAAACATCGCACTTCACTGGTCAGGGCCACCCAATGACTGTTTTCTGTAAAATATCTGTTCGGAGAAGCAGATGATGCCTAAAAGTTTCTGCTTTAGGACGGCTAAAGATTTTTAAATGACAGTTCCATTCCTGTACAATTAATTTTGGAAGCTTATCTAATAAATTCCCAACGATTTTACAAGTTTAATTTTTCACATTTCGCTCCCCAGGTTAGACTATTTTTCGTAAAAAGAAGGACACCTATTAAATTTTCGGATTCAAAAATGGGATGGAGAGATGAATCAGTAAAATTCTTACTTTCGTGCAGTGTAATTTCGAAAGACTCAAGTTCCCCTTGGATGACCGAACCGATCCAAATTTTATAGCGCCGCTTAGAATGCATTTCTAAAGATCTAAAAGTACTCTGGATAACCTAAAAAGTGTTTTTAATGGATTAGGAGGAAACCGTCGTTGGGTGCCCAGACTGCAAAAGAGCGAGAACAAATATAAATGGGTTTTCCTCGCTCATTAGCAATAATTTCGACACCTGTGAAAAATTAAGCCAAATTAAGCAAAATTAAGCCAAATGTCGCTTGTGCCTTTAATTCGGTCGTTTATCTAACACTGATTAGGACGCTACAGCCACTGTTCCTTTCATTAAAAGATTGCAATGGTATTAAGGCAAGCATAAACAGGCTCTCTTACTAGTGAGAGATATGACGAAAACGCAAGAAAGCACAAAGATAAGGGAATACAGACGGAGAAGAAATGGGAAGAAAAAGGAACAGGAGGGGAGTTGCACCCTACCCCCAACCCTTTTCTCACTCCTAGGACACTGTTCACAGACAAGAGTCGGCGGTGTTGTGGTGGTGTTGGTGTTTTTTCACCGAGGTATCGGTGAACTCATCATCAGAAGTAGCCCTAGCCTGTCACAGGCTCCAAGATAGTGGTGAAGAGTCGTTCAATAAAAAGGACGGTGTAAAACGAAATGCCAAAAACGCGCGGGGGCTAAACCTAAACCTAACCCTGACCCTAACCTCTCTTCCAGTTTTCCGCCGCCACCGCCCCATTTCCCAAGTCGCGCGCGTCTTATTTTCGCTCTTCTCGTTTTAATACGTCCCCACTATATTATCTGAGAGCCTGGCACAGGCTACAGTAGCCCTGAACAACAACAACAAAAAGAAACAGATTTAAGACAAATTTAGGAGGAATCCTGTACCGATCAGGAGCTTTCGGGACAGCCCATAACAACCATAAAGCAACAGTGATAATTTATCATTTCAGCACCATTTTTTATTTATACATTTTGAGAAGAATATGGGTGCATCGTTAACTTGTGGCAAATGGAGTGAGCTTCCGCGAAGTGGATACAATACGCTGTTTGACCAAAACCTACTTTGTTATGAAGAAGGCATCCTTTATTATTACAGATCTTCTACTGAAACTATTACACAAACGGACGTTACGTTTCGGCTTGGGAGACACATTCGTTTGAGACGAAGCTTTCGGTGTTTGTGTAATTTACAAGTAAAATTTCCAAGTTCTATAGCGAAAACAATATGAACCAGACAACCGTGACGTCACAGCCCCTTTCACTGTAAAAATCAAACGTCACATCTCACCGATCGAAAGAAAAGAAAAACTCGAAAATATAATTACAATTCGCTCAAGAAGGGTGTCATGACTTTGTGCAAAATAATGGTATACGTATATGTTTCTTCTAGCCTAATTGCATTCTAATTGAAAGTCATATGATGAGCGAGTGATTCTGCTTTCCTCATTTAAAACTCATCATGCGTGTCCTCAGGCTCGTCGCTGTATACAGAGTCACTGTGCAGGAGAAAAAAAAGAACACGGATACATCAACGGTTACAAAAACGCTTTTGAGAGAGTATCCTATTTTAAAATTTAAATTGCCTGCCCTCGCAAAATTAGGAAAATGACTCTTCCCTCCCACCTCCCTCTCCCATTACTTCAGCTTTGGATCGGAGAGGTCCGTTGCTTGAGTATCGTTGAACAGATGCAAACAAACATTGATTACCGTATTTACTCGATTAAATGCCGCGCCCAATCAGAAGAATGGGGCGTTTAGTCGAAGATAATAAGAAAAGAAACTCATTTTAATAAAGATATGATCGTCGCAGTGGTAATTGTAATCAACCAGTTGCAAATTAATCCCCCCCCCCCCAAAATTCGGAACTTCAACGGGATTCGAACCCATGACCTCTGTGTTAGCTCTGCAGCGCTCTACCAACTGAGCTATGAAGACCCATGCATTGGGAGAGGGCCAATTTGTTGAGTTTAACTTAACCCGTGAAAAAAATGAAACAACTTACAGCTCGGTAATGAACACCCTTCCGGATAGTTACGATTTTATCTCAGCAGGCAAGGGAGACTTACAACGCCTTTCTGTTTTACGTAATATTTATGAATGATACATCGAAACTGCTCGATCAGTGATATAAGAACTGAGATTTTGAAATTATAAAGTAATAAACACCGCGGCGTTTAATCGAGTTAATACGGTATAGGGAAGTGGTGAAGGTCACGACGTCTTTGGTTGTCTTGGCTTGCCTACCTGGCGGAATTGTTTTTGCGCGTGGCCGCCATTCTCGCGGCATGCGCCGTGAAATTTCAAAGCGTCTCCTTCCCATTCTCCACACGAGTTCGCTGCACTTCTGCCAATACCTTGCTCGCGCTAACAATCCGACCGGCTAGGCAGGCTATGGTTGTCTTGCTAAACGTAAAGGCGTTTTGTTCGAGATTGATGTAATGGCACCACGGGAGGCGATCGGCACGTGATATCAAACTTTTTTTGCTGTGATCAGATTCATGCTTTAGTGATTTAGACAGTCCAGAGAATTTGCATTTTGTTTAAACATAAGGATATTGAAAAAAAAAAATTCGAGCTTTCACCTATCGACGGCGTCAGTAGGAGTCCTGTACAGTAGTGAAATATGATTAAGAAGGATCGCCTACTTTGAGAGCCCGCTGCCCTGTCCCCCCTTCGCCACTCGCCCCCCCCCCCACCCCCCCAAAAAACATCGCATCTCGGTATTCCTATGGGCAATTTTTGCTATTTTCAGTTTTTCTTTACCATAAGAAGTCAAGATAGCGGGCTACCGACTTTGGGAAAATCGAAATGAGTAAATGAACAAATCAGAGGGGGCGGTGTCTTTAACATTGCCGTGATACATTTGTTTATGAAACTAGAAATTGAAACTTTTATTCCCACGAAGTGATATAATCATACACCCAAGACGAATTTTCTTTCAAATTTTTAAACACCTTCTTCCCACTAATCACTATTTATTCTGTAACAAACGCAACCAGAAAGAAACAGGAAAATTTTGATTAAAAGAAATGAACAGCTGTCCTCTCACTTACCTCGATGGACAATCTGTAATCCATGCCTTAAGGTTTATCTTTGGCAATTCGTCGCAACTGACCCTTACCGAAGACTGCATCAAAGCGTCTTTTTGAATTGAGGTAATGTCATCACTGTTATCGCATATTATCCTGGAAAAGCGTGTTTTCCTGATTTCTTTTAGCTGACAACTGTTGAATGCTGTCTTGTCGGTGTTTAAGGTTACGTTAGGTGCGTTTTCATGCCAAAAGCGATCTCCGAATTTGGTGCGTTTGAACTGATTTGCTAAAATGCACTGAAATGTTGCACTGAGTTCTCCTCCTTTAGGATCACTTGGTTCAAGCATTCCTGAGAAGAGATCGAAGTAGCAAATGAAGTTTACTTTTCAACCACAAAAGTGGTAATAACAAATTAAGTGAGTCCAATTCAATTGTTGTAAGTTTTTATTTGTTTGTGCTGCATTCCAGCCCCAAAACTGACAAGAAAAAAAAGGCCAAAAAGCCAAAAACAAAAACAACAACAACTGTAAACTGCATGCCTGTTCACACTCAAGCATAATGCATGCACTTTCCCATCAAAATGTGGAAAAAATGTTGCAATCGTGGATGCCTAACGGCTAGTCAGATTCGCGAAGATTTTTGCTATACTTTGGACTGAGTGGAGTTAGTTTAATCACAAGTGTATATGATTACAAACCGAATAGGACAACACGAAGGTCTGTTACCAATTAATCATAACTATAGAAATTTGTGATGTTTTAAGTCTTTTTTAATTAAAATACAAGAAATGTGAGAGTTTTTGCTACCAGTGAAAAAAAAAAACTAGACTGCGAACAGTGTCTTATTTTTCTTTGCAAAGTTACTGCACGTGAAACCCAAGGACGCGAGCGGCGAAGCCGCGAGCCGCGATAAACCAGGGCGTAAGCCCGAGGAGAAAAAAATAAGAGACTGCTGACTCCTTTTATTCTGTCTGGGTACAACGAAGCTGTCAAGGTAATTTAATTAACCAATTAAACCCGAGTAACTTGAAACGATTTATAAATAGAACATAAACAACGGAAAAATTTTACTTTTTTTATAATCCGGTAAGATTACCTTGAATTCCATTCCCTTGAGGAAATTTACAGCAGTTTCCTTCCGTAAGATATCGTTAAACGTTTAAGTTTACAAGCGATTACCGCCAGCTTCGCAATTGTTAGTAGTTAGTTGTGACGCGTGACTATTTTTACCGCTTGCGTCTCCACCACAGACCAGTCAATGATCTGCCAAAAGCTGCAAAATTGACCAATCGGTTACTCCGTTTCTGGGCTAACGGAGGGTTTGTTTACTGCAAAAGAGTCCGCAGTCCATCTATTGTCGTCTGGTCCCAATCCCTTATTGTAACATAACGTCGTGGTTTGCAATCGCGCTTGCTGAGATAAGAACTAGACGTATTTTAGAGAAATTCGGACTGCAAGCAGTCTAAGAACAACAAAACATTCAAATGCGCCCGCGATTACGCGTACTGTCCAATTATACTGTCCTAATCAGAACGGTTGTTAGCCAATTAGCTTTCTTCGCAGATGTAATTTAACCAGAGTTTAGTTTCGTCTGTGGTGCAGGCTAATAGCCAAGCAGAATTGAGAATTTTGTTATAGTTATGATTATGGGAAGAATGTGATCGTTGCTCCAGACTTACCTCCGGTGAACATGTCTACATCCTCAACTGTCTTGTAAACTTTTTCCAATGCAGCAACGACCCTTTTGTCAAAATTGGCAACCGTTACCAAGTCAGAGAAATTTCTAACGAGTGGAAGGCCACAAAAGCGGCGAAACCTGGTGTAGCTAGGCAGTCCACGATCATGCCCTCTTCTAATGTTAATAGCGATTAAGTCAGACGTATCACCTTCACCGCGACTTAGGTTTTCTTGGACTGAAGTTGAAAAACGCCTGTACGACAAAGCAAACGAACAAAAAAGATCAGTAAGTAAAATAGAAGAAAGGCGTATAAAAGTAGTGCATTGCGTGGCAACCTAAAGATCAGCCAACTTCGTCCACAGGATTAACCTATCTGTTGGTTGCAGTGAATTCGGTGATTTCCTAACTATAGGCTCTTATCCAAAGAGAAGACAGATAGTGAGTAGATTGTATAATAATGGCGCCGATTGGATCTATTCATCGCCTATGCAGAGTATGTTGTAACCACTTGATTACCATGACCAAAGTGAAAGCGGTCTTCAAGGTACAGAAAGAACGCAGTATAATTCCTTGAATTTGGCTACAATAAAACCTCCTCTAGCCCGCCAAGCGTGAGCTCGGATCCTTCGAACTAACTCTAAATTATCTCTTGCAAAGTTTCGTGAATCCGCGCGAATCGGTCTTAAACCTATCAGGCTCACAACTATGCATACCCTAAAAGCAACACTGAACTTTTCTCCTAAACAAGAAAATTAAACAAATCAAAAGGACTGCGTGTACGTGCATGCGATAACTTCACTCACCCGTCAGCTTTCGCTGCAGGATCTTTAAGTAAGCCCCTCAAAATGGCGTCGACACCTCCTTTACATACAGCGTACAAGGGTGCTGGGTTATTGAAGTCCAGTACTGGGATTGGCTGGAATTGTAATTTGTCTTTGCTACATTTGCTGCATTTGTGTTCAAAGCCATCTTGAGAGAATCGATTGAAAAGCTCTTGAACCAAACTGTGGCCAAATCGATATGCAGCTACGGCAAAGGCTGTTAATGTTTGCGCATTTTCCTCTTTGTCATAGCCAGTGAAAAACTCCTCTCCCTCAAGAAGTACAAGACCAAATTCTTTTCTCTAAATAGTGGTGAAAGTAAACAAACATAAAATAAACCTTTTTTGTTATGTAAACGGGTGCAATATATACATTATTTGCGTTTTATGCATAATCACGCGGAGAGCTAAATACAAATGTAAAGAAGGAGAGTATTCTGTAAGAAGTTAAAGGTAAATGGTCGAAAAATTCGTCTTTATTTTAGGTTTAGTAGCTTGAAATAATCATCATCTGGCTTGCAATCCTGAGTCCTGCGGTGCACTTATTTACCTTTCTCTCTCCGTCATTGCTTCATTTTACGGGTAATTAAAGGGGCTGTGTCTAGTTCATTTTCTCTGATAATGCCAATTACGCGTCTTTGTCCGCTATTCGAACTTAAGAAATTATTTGTGACTGACAAAATCAGGGCTTCGAGTCAAACAATTAAATATGTCTTTTAAGCATTAAATCAAACTATACCAAACGTTATAATAAACAACTAAAAGTGAACTTGGATGTATTGAATAACATGAAAAACTGTTAAGCTAACAAGTTTTAAAAACCGCAGTTGTCATCCGTTTCAATCTTCTTCAAGTGTAGTGACTATGTTTATGATCTTTTTTAATATTTTGATTGGTTTTTTTGATTTTTAACTCAATTTGGTGGCAGTTTCCACCGTTTTAGTTGTAATAAATTTCGTGGCAAAGCTCTCACAAAGCTACGCGGAAAGAGAAAGAAGTCCAAACGAAGATTTGAGCTCAGCCCTGGGAATTTAACTCGGGACCTCTGGCACAGAAGACCACGCCCCAAACCCGGCAAGGAGCCTCTTAAAGAGCTGTGGGTAAATTTTTTAAGTTTTAAATACCAAATTTCTAATCGAATACAGTATGGTTAGAGCTCCCCTTCTTTTGAGTGGTTACGTGGCGAATTCAGTGTTTTTATAGCGGCTTTTTAGAGTAACGAGTTCGGATCTCTTGTTTACTAGAGAAAATTCACGAGCACTTGGCTTGATTGCAGTTTGTTTGTCTCCGTTTATTTCCTTTCCTCAACGAAAAATTTCCGTTTCTTCCCACATGTCAATTTTCTACTTAAGGCCACTCTCGTAAGCGACCGCTCCGCTGACCACTTTTGTTAATCACCGACTAGATATCAGTTTCTTCTCTCTTTCTTCAGTTTCATATTCGACCACTCAGAGAACACCCGAACTGAACAAATTAACGTCTTGCTCAAATTCAGGATTATACGTAACAGAAACGCCAACGGCTTAATTAATACTGTATTATCTTCGAAAACTTCGAATGTAATAAAGCTTCGAATAAAAATAAAGCTGTTTTATTATTTCATCAGACTGTATTTTAGTCATAAACAACAATGTGCCAATATAAAAGCGTTCTAAGCGAGTGCATTTATTTGCCACATGGTCATTTGGAGGAGTTCATTCTCGTTCGCTGAACCAGAAAACGACTTTTATCCGAGCTGGTCGCTTACGGGAGCCAAATGACTGTATAATAAGTGCCGTCAGAAAAACAAGTTCTTTGCAGACAGGAAGAAGAACAGACTGAGGCACCCAACGACTGTTTTCTGTAAATATCTGTTTGGAGAAGCAAATATTTGCCTAGAATGACCGTTCTATTCATGTACAATTTTCGAAGCTTATCTAATAAATTCCCTGCGATTTTCTGAAGTTTAATTTTTCAATTTTACGTCCCAAGTTAGGCTATTTTTTGTCGAAGAAAGGAAACCTAAAATTGTCGGATTCAAAAATTGTGATGGAGAGAGGAATTAAAAAATGTCTCACTTTCGTAATAAGTCAAATGTCATCTAAAATTTTTGGGAAAATGATACCCACGCCCTTGTAATTTTGAAGAGACTCAAGTTCCCCTAGGATGACCGAACAGATGCAGATTTTACAGCGCCGCTTAGAATTCATTTCTAAAAGTACTTTGGATAGCCTAAAAAGTGTTTTCAATGTATTTATGAGGAAACCGTGGTTGGCTGCCCCTGGAATGAGAAGCGCCGCTCTAACCTTCCTTTAATTCAAAGTAATTGACATTTAAAACAGAAACCTACTCATGTACTTTCGACCCCGTTAACACGGGTCCGGACAAAACGCTTTGAACGGGGGACGAATTTTTACCTGTGCAACCAGTGTTACACGGAACGTTTCAATTTCTGTTACAGATTGCAGCACTGTTTTGGGTGTTCAAAACAATCTGAAGGACGAGTAGTCCTGCTAATAAAGTACAACTAACATGTTATTCTTTCTGGAAATTTTTAAGGCTCGGAAATTAGGCATGGGATTTTTGGGGGGGTTAACTTGTGGTCCAGGGATTTTTTGGGTTTTGATTGTTGCCCCCAAACGATATCCCCGTCACTTGAAATCTGGAGACCTTCTAAAAAGGTAGGGTGTAGCTTTGCAGGGACCTACCGTGTGCTCACTCAAAAGTAATGGCAGGAACTCGCCGTATGTTATGATTTGTAGCTCTGCTCCGACGATTCTTCTGGTTTCTTGATAAATCTTTTCGGGGTCCCAGTCTGTATTCTTTATGAAAAATGTTGCGATTCGGTTGTGTTCACGCACGAAGATAGTATGGACCGAATTTAGACCTGTAGGTTTAGAAATATCGTTATGATAATTAGTTTTTCTTTATGTGTACTGAGTAAAGTACCCGAGGACTTGGTCTTAATTTCTGCACATGTTTGCTGAACTGTACAGAGAACGACTTGTATAATTAGTAATAGTATTTTATATGGGAAAGATCAATTTTTTTTTCATGCAGCAGCATTTAAGGTTGCAAGAGCTTTTAATCATTACCCTACAAAAAACGGAACTTACTAGATTGGAGCAAAAATGATGTGTATATTGGAAATGTACGTACGCATGCAAAGGACCTAAAGTATCAAGCTAAACTTAGTCCTATCTTTCTCAAAAGTTTCATCGAGGGAGATGAATTAATCCCTGATTTCTCTGTTGTTTTCCTCAAAGGAGGTTTGTGCGAAATGGGTGATAAGCAAAGTAGGGTTCTTCGTCCTGTTTTAATAGTGTAACGTTGCGTCACTGGAGGTATGAAATATTGCACGAGAAAATTACTCATCTCACGAGTTTTTGTCTTTCTTTCTTTTTTTTCTTTTTCTTTTTTTTTTCGGGAGAGGAATTAAAGGAGAAGTGTTTCATGACATGAGGATACCCTGGGTGTCAGAGCTTTTTTCTTGCGCACGATGATGAAGAGCAGCGGAGAAGTCTCGGGGTCCGCGGCAGGCCGACACGTCTTCGGTCAAAAGCTGAAGCCACGAGCGGCGAATCCCGAAAGCGGAATCCGCGCAAGAAAAGTCTCTGACACCAAGGGACCTCAGAGAGATGAATTTATGTGGATGGCCCCGCCTATCTTACCAGGGTTCTCATTGTTTCGTATGTCTCCGCTGAAAAAACATGGTTCAAAAAAATTTCTTGTTGGGCAGAAACCGTCGACTTGAGCAGGCAGTAAGTTTTTGAATTGGCAGCCATGTGGATGCTTCATGACCAATAGGAGGCCGTCTGCAGCACGAAGTGATTCAGCAATCTCGTCAGTTGATCCATACACGTTAGATGCGTCAATATAGGCGGTTATTGTGTTCGGATGTTCTCGAACTTCTAGTGTGCAAAAAGAATCTGGTTTGATGAAAGCCTCTCTCTCCATTTCAATAAATTTAATATATCTGTCACGGAAAATCCTATCGCTTTTGGGAATATGAATGTTGATACATTCAGGTTCTTCCTTGTCCTCGGGTGGCTCACAGTTAACTCCCTGTGCCTCCGCCAGCGACAGGTCGTGGTCCATGAACTGTCCGAAGTTCATGGCCAGATGGGACAGTACACTAGAATTAGGATTTAAGCCATCTGCGTTGCTGCCGTGAACTTTGAAACTTACTTCTCGGGTGTTTGGAAGTGGGTGGCCAGTCACTGATTCTCGAAGGGTTGAGATGCAATCGCCATAATCGGCTGGTATAAGTCGTTCGAATTTTGTGTTGATTGATCCAAATTCTGGGTTTTTTAGGTTGTTGCAGGTTCCATTGATTGTGCGATATTTGGCGTCCTCATCACATTCTATGGATTCCTCTTCTTCAGGCATAATTCTCATTGCTCGCCGGAGGATGATTCTTTTACACCTTCTAACTTGTGCGCTCCTGTTAGAAGATAATAATATTAGGAAGTTGTAAAAAGAGACCTGTTTAGCACTGGTCTTAATCTGTTTTAATTTTATAAAACTAGAAATTAGTTATCCAACAGCGATGGGAATCTTGGTGTGCTTCGACGTGTGTGCACTCCTTAGCAGTACTGTAATGCCTCGGTTAACGGAAAGGGAGCCACCCTCCCGACTGAATCAACTTTAAAAAGCGTTTAAAGTTCACCTGTTTACTTGAGCCTCGAAGTGAAAACAGCGCCTGCGCATCAGATTGGCCTAGTTGACCTCGCTGGGGGAGCCAAAGTGTTTATATGGAGAGAAGTTATACTGACTAGGAGGGTGACCTTGACATCGAAAAAGGGTGACCCAGCGGTCACCTTTCTAGCTGAGTCAACGTTTCTTTTCTTATAAATTTGATAAGCGTGCGATATGTGTGCTGTGAAACAGTGCAGTCTGTTATTATTTTTAGAAAAGTAATTTGCACTCGCGCTTGTGATAGGAACCCTGATTAAACTTTCTTTTAGCCGTAGTTGGCTATCTACCATCTCATTTCTGGCCCATGCTCTTGAAACAAAATACCATACAATAGTGAGCTTAAGCAACGGCGTTTTTGAGCAAAGTCGCTTTTGCATTCTTGGGCAGTGGTTTTCCTTGGGTTATAAGTCTGAATAAGAGTAAAACACTTTGCAATACACGTTTAGAAGTATCTAGGCATACAAAAAGTTTCTTAGTTAATAAAAAAGTTCTTTGCTTAAGCTTCCTAATGCCGGAAAGTAGCGGTGATTGTCACAGGCAGCCGAAGCTCTTGGAATATGTCCTACAAAAGTGAAGAGGAAAGAAATAACCTCTTCGAAATTAGGGGAAATAACATCGTGTTATGAAAAGAAAAGCCCATCGCAATGAGTTGACTTCCCCTGGTGGTACTACGGATTTCAAGTGAGGGAGATGATCGAAGGATTTTTTTGGGTTTGAGATTTTGCATTCCGGCATTTTTTGGGGTAGGAAAATTTGGCAAGTATTTTTTGGAGGTACTCAAAACAATGTGAAGAGTCGTGGTAGTGCACGCGTATCTCGGCCGCGTAGTTCTGCGAATAAAGTTCAACCGAACTTGTTTTGCGGCTGTTTTTTTGTTGCCCCCGCATTTCGCCCAGAATGGGAAATCCCAAGAAGGCACTTTAGTAGCTCGCTCGTATATTAAGAAAAGTACTTACACGGTTGAAATATACAGTCAGTATACCAGAAAAAATCTCGATTTGCTTGAACAGGGGCAGCATGGAATCGTTGGGTAATGATGACGTTTGTTTTGTTTGCGCCCGCAAGTTAGAGATGTTTCAATGATGTAAAACAGAAAATCCGGAAGGGACCCGTTACTAATAGGTAGATTTTGTGACACTTATTGTACAGTCATACTTCGATACTCTTTTGCGTTACGTGTTATCAGCGACATTCTGTGGAGCAGCTGTTTTGAAATTTATGGACCAAAAGACACTCGTTTAGCGCAGATGAAGTTATAACAAGGTACGTATAACTGTATATATATATTAAACACTTGTTTACCAGACACGATTTCCCAATTTCTTAGATTGGAAACAATTTGACAGACTCTCTTTCTCTCTCTTTGGGGGAATATTAAAGATCCACTCCCAAACAAGCAAGACGATTGAATCAACGGCGCGGTTATCACTAGCAGAACGATGGACGATTACAGAAATTCGCCGACAATTAAATTCTGTGCTGACTTATTCCCTGCTTACAGATGTCCTTCTATGAAGTTCCGGGAAAAAGACTAGAATGCGCGAGCGTGAATTAATCAAACCTTTGAATTTCTAAGGTTTACATTCCGGCAAATAAAATGAACAGTATGTAAAAAGTGAAAGAGAAGTAGCGAAAAATTGGAACTTCTAATTAATTTTTTTTTATGGTTTAGAATAAATTATTTTGAATCGAAACTGAGAATGTTTTAATCAAAGCTGTGTAAGTCGAAGTGAATCCGTGCTGGGAACTTTTCTTTTCCTGTTTTTATCTCACCTACTGTATGGAATATGTGAGAAAATCTTCATTATGAATCGATATATTTGAACCGGAGCTACACAACGACCAATCATACTATTGACCGACAATATACAGAGCGGGGGCAGCTGCAGTGTCAACTATTTAATAATTATTCCTCGAGCCCGAATGGGTTCTGAGTCAATAGCCCATGAGGCCGAAGGCCGAATGGGCTATTGACTCAGAGGCCGTGAGGGAGAGAGGAATAATTGCTTTAGTAAAATCCAACTAGTTGGTAAAAAAATATCGAGACAACACAGCTTTAGCTAGTTAACGGTAGACTTTAATCCTTTTTTGCCGCCAAAAGCCGGCGCTTTTCGCCACTTGTGGGCTGTAACATATAGCCTAGTAGTAGCTTAACCAATCAGAACGCAGCATTAATAATAGACCACTAGCTTGATTTTACTAAAATGCATTACATTGCATCTGGAAATTTTTAAGGCTCGGAAATTCGGCGTGAGATATTTTGGGGGTTAATTTTTGGTCCAGGGTTTTTGGGTTTCGTTGGAAGCCGTAAGGATCGTTCGGGTTTTGATTTTTGCTCTCATTCGATAAACTCCGCCACCGGAGTACCCCCCTTCCCCGCTGGGGTTGACTTAGGTATAATCTAAAATTACCTAGTAAATAAGAATGAAACTTCTATGTCTATTCAACCTATTAGTAGGAGAGTTTACTTAGTTTACGTCTGGAATGGTAAGGTGTTTTTTTTTAATTGAGAATTCCAGTGATTATTTATCTTCCGGGATCTTTTACCTAAATTCCCATACAGCCACGCTCATTTGGAGGATTACGCATATAAGACCACTCGTAGTTATGATGAGAGTTATGATTAAAGGTTGGGCTGCGTGTAGTTGAATAAGCATATAAATTTCATTCTTAGATTTATGTAATTTTAGAATAAGTCAACTCATTGAAATGTTCCCTTCTTCTCATTACACGATTTTATGTGTAATTATTTTGATCCTTTCTTTTTACCCCTTCAGTTAGGTGTATACCATGACATGTAGGGTTTGACATTTACTCTACCAAACTACTATAATCAGTCCCCTTTAATGTACACGTAGGTTAAAATTAAGCCTTAGTAAATCTAAATTGTATGTAAATGTAAATATGTTGTACTCACTCAGGGAGCCTGGTGTTAATATTCAACAGTTGCCGAATAGATGTGTCGTTACACAGAGTATTCAGAACGCATGCGCTGCATTTTTCGCTCTTCGCGGCAGCATTATACTGCTCGTCGGTCATAAAATTCTTGCTTCCGTGCTGAAAAGCCTGATAGTTTGGTCTCAAGGATGATTCTCTTTCCGCCTCTAGATTCCTTTCCTTAACAGTTATGTTGGAGCATTCATTTGCGGCGAGTTTCATAGCCCTTGTTTTGATAGTCTCGAAAGCATCTTCTTGACTAACTCCAAGGAAGCTGTCTTTGTGTTTTTCTTTCAGGCGGGGGATGTGAACAAGAGCCTCTTTGGGTAAGTTTCTTTCCTGTACGTCTTCCAGGTTAGAAATTTCATCTAACACTTCTCCCGTGCCGGAAAATGTATCCTCAATGACGTACGTTGAGACCAAGTCTATGGCCAGCAGGAATATCAAACTGACCAGTAAACGTTTATTCATGGTTGACTAGAAAAATAATTGAATTAGTTTTAAGTTAGTATTTTTAGTAGCATGTATGGAAATATGGCGCCAAAATACTATTTTTGATTATGATTCAGATTTTGGTTCTGGACGGAAAAAGACTTAAGTTCTAAAAGTAAGTAGTTCGAGTAGTTCATCGTTTCCATGCTTTCAATTTCTACATCGTTATTTCGTATTCACTTTTTTATTTTCAATAAGCAAATAATGAATAAGATGCTTATCAAGAGATAAGCTATATCCACCTTTTGAACCACTAAACCGGGATTGTGTATAAGCCGCTTGTATACCATCAAAATTTCAGTTTAGTGTTGTTTTATGACACCGATTACTATACACTCTTGGAGGGTATTTTTATTTTTTTCGGCTTTCATGCATTTATACAAACTTAAAAAGGCTAGTAAAAAGAAAACACGTGTTCGTTATTTTGAGGATACACAACAACATTCTCAGCTGCTGAGAAAATATCTACTAAATTAAAGTCGTTGTGTGTGAACCGTTAAGCGGGCAAATCTATGCAAATAATGCTGAAAAGAGGCTCTTAAAAACGTTTGATCACGTCCAACCCAGAACGATACCCGCACGTTTGACTTAATTTTCTGACAGAATTAGGTAAGATCTTTGCTGTGAAGTGCATTTTGCCTGTGATTTTTGTACCGCTTTGGAGATTTTAGCTTTTACTTTGGAGGAATTTGTCAAGGGAGAAAAAAAACTGCAAAGTGGCTCGTCTTTGATCTTATTAATTTAATTTAATTTTGCGTCAAATTATCCAAGATTCCGTCATAGGACAAGTCAAATGCAGCTAAATCCATTGTACTATGTAGAATTTCGCGATATTTATCCGTTACGAAGAAGCGCGGCTTTTAAAATTACAGAATTTTGGCCACTGAATAAAGTTGAAAAAGCGTTCTCAGACAGGAAAGAAGTTTTATGCTGTAGCGAAGTTTTTGAAAAAAATTAGCTCGATTTTAATCATTCCTCATTAAGTCCTTTTCACCCACAAAACATAGAGGGAAGGTTTACTGGCAATCCCAAACTCGCCGGACCGCTCTTAAGTGGACAGCCACTTAAAGAACGAAATAATACTATAGGTGATTATACTTTCTGATTGGCAATTTAAATTTTTTTAAAAAGTTATTTTTTAAGGAGGGTAAACCCCCTTTTCCCAGCCATTTTCTTTTTCATTCAGTAGGGATAAATTCATCCCCAGACTCCTCCCATTTTGTACGTCATTATGCTGACGATTACCTATTGGCGTGAGCGCCAAAAAAAATATTTTTTTGCTAGCTTTTGCGTGTCACGTCCGTAAGAAGAGGAATTTTTGTCTACTAGCTGAGGAGTTTCCATTTATTTTGCTCGCTAATTTGTCTACTGCAGAGGTTATCTGATGTATTTTAGAGTAAGTGTTCAACTACTTTTTATTTTCAAGACCTTTTAGTACTTTCATGTGTCAATACCGCAGGCATTTTGTTACGGTTATAGCTAGTGGATCTGTGTGCTCTAGAAACCTTCAAAGTCCTTAAGAGCTAAGGTTTAGCTATAATATCCCCCAACCCTTCAGTTCCTTTTATTTTATTTTGCACCGTACATTGTGTTGGACGTGGCTGTATTGCAGTTTGTTGGTCGCTCAATATCAGTGTTGTTAACTTTTAACATTTTTTTTCGCACTGTATATTTGTGTTGGACATGTCTGCATTGCAGTTTGCTGGTCGCTCAATATCAGTGCTTTTCCTAAAAATTAACGCACACAAATTTACACATACCCTCCCGCACCACCTTATCCACTATTGTAGTGGACGCAATGCCACAATCAAAGGTTGCTAGGTGAATCTACTGATGTAAAATGTTTTTTCCACAAAGTTATGGTAGGTACCTAACAGTAGGGGTACCTCTCGTAGAAAGAAAAAAAAAAAAAAAGAAAGAAAGAAAGAAAAGAAATCGCGCGCGGCCTGCTATGCAATATGCGCGACATACGTGAGCCGGAGGTCAATTTCCACGTGCATTATCATTGGGTTACCTAGCAACGGGATACAATAGTGGGCCCTGAAAATTGATGTTTCTTCCATGGTATCGAACCTAATCTTAAATAAGCAACTCTTATCTTAAATGACAATTAGTTTTGTTACATGCTATGACGCACACGCTGAATGAATTGCAACGGATGTTCTTTTAGAATCGGTCAGGGTGGTAGACAGTCCGAAAACCTGTGAAGTAATGATGATGGCTTGGATTCGTTTTTTCCTGCTTGTCTGGTGAACTGGATCGCTGATATTGTTTATTCTGTCTGAATTCAGTAAAAACACGCGAGAAATTATGGGGGTAATTAGAATGATAAATTCGAGACTTCGCTAGACTGCGAGACTCTGGTTTATTCGAGACCGAGACTTATGCGTTCTTATCAATTCTGAGCACGAGACTTTGGTTCTAAAAAATCCGAGCCCGAGACTCTAATCGCCGAAAATTTCGAGACAATAGTAGAAATAAAACTTAAGAACTGGCTGAAAATGCCGATGGAAGACAGTGTCTTAATAATCTGCTTGCTTAGTTCGATAAGCTGTCCCCATGAACTCTAAAAATTTCGACTCCTAAGACCAAACGGAAAAGAAAAAACGACAAATCCAAGACTCCTAGATCCCTCGGTAAAAAAATTCCAGACTCCATGACGCAAAAATCATCCGAAAACGAGACTTCGAGACACGTCAAAACTGACGCTTAGCGATTTCGAGATTGGGCCAAAATTTTCGGAGAACCCACGTTTTTCGTAGAAAAGTACATTGTATCTTAGAGGTTTATTTACGTCTGGTATTCAGCTTGTTCGTTATGACTTTAAAATCTGCAAACTATGTACTTTGTAGATGGAGTGATGAGGCACCTACGCCTCCGAAGAGGATTCTGAACTGTTGACTTATCTTACTCTCCCAAGTTTACAGAATTTTTGTGGATTTTAGAAATGGGTTTTAGGCTAAACAGTTTCTTGTGTAGAGAGATCCTAACATTTTTTATCCTAACAGAGCTTAACAGGTTCTTAAAACACAGGTTTTTTTTATTTTTTTATTTATTGACAAAAAAAAATTAATTATAAATACTTGTTATTTTAACTATGAAAAATAATATATATATCTATATGGCAAAAAACAAACTAAATTTGTAAAGGAAAAGAAAAACAAAAAACAACAACAAAAAAAAAAACAAACAAACTAAATTAAAAGGAAAAAGACGCAAACCTGATAAGTGAAACAGTAAAAACACATGTTTTTACTCGATGGTTTTTCTGTACTTATAGTTTTCGAGTGAACTAAGTGTAAATTCCAAGCAATTGCGTAGAAACACAGCGAAACGGCTCACCTGGTAACAAAATACTGTGAAACATAGAAGGCCTGACAAAGACACAGTTTTGCCTTGGCTATTAACAAATTAGGGGCTGTCGACATATTCACTTTTCCCCCGCTTAACGTCAACTGGACGTTTAGGGGGGAAAGGAGTAAGGCAGTGGACGTTAGTGCGGGGCATTTTTGGACAAAAGCAAACTGATGCATTTTCATAAATTATACGTCATGTGTGGAACGGCGCTCGTGACATAATTAAAGAGAAAGCAGGACCAATTAAAGAAGTGAGTGTAAATTTTGATCTTTTAAACTCTGCCCTTAACTACTAACAAATTGTACACTTTACATTGTGATCTTTTAAACTCTGTCCTAAATCACTAAAATTTTGACAATACCAAAAATTATGGTTAGTTACGTTTGTGAACACAACTGGAATCTTTTTTCAATACATCCTTGAACGTCAGCGTTCTTCTTTGAGAATCCGTTCACCCTCATCGGACAAAATCCGAGGCAATCATTTTCACTTCAATCTAACAACAATTGACAATACTTTAACGTAAACTGAGTAAAGTATAAATCCGTGCTTTCAGAGTAACGAAAGAGTAATGCATACGTGAAGTAGAAAATGGAATGCCGCTGGCCAGTAGGTTTAGTATGTTGTTTAATAACATGGCGGCCGACATGACGGTCTTGTACCAGCGATTCTGGCTTTGACCTCTGAATACTGTAGTGTAGTAGGGAATCAAACGCATTGACAGGAAAAAAGCAGTTATGTAGATTTTGCAAGAAAACAGGTAGGACAAAGCATAATTCGATGTATGAAGTTTCTACCACGTTTTAAAACAGTAAATCGGTGACATCTTCACGTAAAAAGTGCATGTCAGTATTCGTACTGGAATGCAGTGATTTTTGGGGCAGCACAATTTCAAGTGGACGTTAAGGAGGAGGGAGGGGAAGGGGTCTGACCTAAACGTCCAGTTGACGTTAAGCGGGGGAAAGTGAATATGTCGACGGCCCCTTACGTACTAGGCTTCGTCAACCGTAACTTAAAGTTTTTCCCATTCTTCGAAAAGGACCGTCTTCCTATTAGACTAGACAGACTAGCTAAATTTAACGAAATCTTTGAAATCTTTGGTTAGGCAACATTTATAACTTCCTGCGATTCACAGTGATTGTAATTGTCTTCTGTTTGGAGACCAACACTCGGCATACTGTTCACAGCGATCTCAGTTTTTTGAGAACTAAATGCTTAGTTTTTTTGCATTGTTTTATTTCAATATGACTGTGCAATTTTTATTGTTCAGGATGATGGTAGAATACATACGGCGAATAAGACACCCAGACTGTGAATTCTTTCCACTGTCTACTTGTGCATGTAGCGGCGGAACTTGGTGGCGGGAAGAAGCATCTCGCAGTTTTTATTTGTGCGAATGTTTGTGTCTAAAGTGCTGTCTGGACCGGTGTCACTTAAAAAGGAAGGCATATCAAACTTTGCCAATTGCTATGGTTGCGTTTTGGAAGATAAAAGAAAAATATTAACCTGATTAAGTCTTACCAGTAACTCCCTCTGAAAAAAGTACGACACAATCGTTCACTCGTCTCCGTGGATTCCCTACAGTAGATGAATTTACTGAGCCCAACTAGACTAAAGTTAAC